AGAGCAACTGCATCCGGCATTGACCATCGTATCTTCGGTATCTTCGTTATTGCTTTGACGCTTGTGTCTGTTGCGTCATGGCTTTCCATTGCCATCCCTAGCTTCAGAGGTGCCAGGGTCGCTGGTGTTGTTGCTTCTGCGAGCTAGCCAGCTATCCTCTCACGCGCAAAAGCGGGTCATAAGTGCGGTAAGGGCTGCCATGGACTTCGGTTTTTCTTGGCCGACGTGTCGAGCAAGCCACTCGTCTCGGACGTTGTGTTTAAAGGCCGCGAGGGCTTCGGCGTCCGGACAGTCCACAATTTGGTTCTTTTAAATTAAGAACCTGGTCCATAGCTTCTGGGCTGATTCTCCGGGTTGCTGGACTATGTGACTGAGGTCATTGGTGTCTGGAGGCCAAACATAGGTTCCTTGGAAGTTGTCTCTAAAGGCATCCTTCAAGTCTTCCCAGCTGCCAATAGAGTTTTATGGGAGGCTATTTAACCAGTGTCATGATGGTCCCTTTAATTTTAGCATGAGGTATTTGATGGCATGGAGATCATCACTACAAGCCATGTGAATATGGAGAATAAAATCTTCGATCCATACTGGGGGATCTGTAGTACCATCGTATGATTTGATGTTCACGGGTTTAAACCCTTCAGGGAACTGGTGCTCCATCACCTCATCGGTGGAGCATAAGGGGTGTGCGGCGCCTCTGTATCGGGCGATGTCGCGGCGCACTTCGGATGAAGTCCGAATGTGGTTTTCGGCCCGGGTGGGGTTGTGCCTGTCGCGCCAGGCCTGATGGCCGTCCTCTCGTGTTGGGGCACGCCCCCTTGACCCATAGATTGATCTTGTCTGACCGGCTCTATTGTCCAGGTCCTTTCGTAGGTCATATGTATAGCTCGGGGCCGCTGCCTCCCTGCCTCGACGGCGGGGTGGCGCAGGCTGGTGTTCGGCGTAAGTGGACGGTCTGTCCCATCCATGTGGTGGTCGGTCAGGTCATCAGCGTGTTTATACTTTGGTGGTATTGGCTCAAGGGCCTCATCATCGAATTGTGGTAGCAGCTTGCGCTTTGGGTAGCTCTTGGTTGGGCGCTCAAGGCCATATTCCTCGGCTACCAGGACTTTAGTCCATCTGTCATTGAGCATGTCCTGATCGGCTTGGAGTTTCTGCTGCTTCTTTTTTAGGCTTCTCGCAGTGGCGATTAGCCGGCGCTTAAAGCGCTCTTGTTCGAGGGGTTCCTCTGGCACGATGAAGTCTTCGATACTGAGGCTCACATCCTCTTCAGAGATCGGTAGGTAGTTACTATCCTCCGAGTCCTCTTTCCCGACAGGATCGTCGGGGTTAACTTGCCCATCCACCCAATCATCATGTTCGGATGTTGGCTCGATAGGGGCTTCGGGGTCTTCGGCATTCTCTGGGGTGTTATTGTCTTCGGTGCCAGCATTGCTGTCTTTTTTGTGACGTGATTTTGAGCGGCGCCGCTGACGTCAACGCTTTGGAGGTGCTTCAGCAGGCTTGTCCTCAACCGGATCCTTCTTGCCGTCGTCGTCATCCTCTTTGGGTGTGTCCACCATGTACACGTCGTATGTGGAGCTGGCTATCCAATGTCCGGTAAACGGAGGATCTTGGCCTTCTTCGTCTTCGGCATCGTCGTCCATGCCGTCGATGTCTTCGGAGGCGTATTCCAACATGTCGGTTAAGTCTTTGACACTGGCTATGAAGTGGGTGGTGGGTGGAATGTAAAATTCCCCGCTCTCAGCCCCTAGTCCGGGCTGGGCGTAATTCGGAAGCGATTCCTCTGTAATGGCGAGGGATCGCATTATGTCCATAGCCTCGTTTAGTAGCGAGGTTTGGGCAGGGAAGCGAGAGTCCGCGGGGGCAGCAGAGGTGAGGCCTCCTGGCCACGCTCGCTTGACGCGAACCTCGAGAATTCGGATTCGGAGTCCGAGGGGGAGTCTGGCACTTTAGCGACAAGGGGAGCCCGATTTGTCTTCGGATTTGCCGATGACGCAGTCCCCTCCAGATCTCTGGTAGCGAGTTTCATAATTGTAGGGAGTCCGGCGGGCTCTAAATTCCCGTCTTCGGACCTGGTAGTCTGCTCTGGTCCTAAGGCCAGAGCGGCGGTCGGGGCCGTGAACCTTTCGAAGATCAAGTCTCCTCGGATATCAACGACATAGTTCAGATTTCCAAAACTGATCTGATGACCAGGGGCATAGCTGTCGATCTGCTCAAGGTGGCCAGTCAAGCTGGCACGCAGTGCGAAGCCGCCGAATACGAAAATTTGGCCGGGGAGGAAAGTCTCCCCCGAAACAGCATTGTTGTGGATGATCGAACGAGCCATCGAACCTTCTATCGATAGCACAGAGGAGCTCTCAATGAAAGCACCAATGTCGGTGTCAAAACCGGCCGATTTTGGGTACGGGGTCCCGAACAGTGCGTCTGAAGATCGAAGGTAACAGGAGGCAGGGGACACGATGCTTACCCAGGTTCGGGCCCTCTTGATGGAGGTAATACCCTACTTCCCGCTTGATTGACTTTGATGAGTATAAAGGTTACAAGAGTTGATCTACCTCGAGATCGTAATGGCTAAACCCTAGATGTCTAGCCTGTATGATTATGATTGCCTCTACGGACTAAATCCTCTGGTTTATATAGACACCGGAGAGGCCTAGGGTTGTACAAAGTCGGTTTACAGAGAAAGGAATCTTCACATCTGAACGCCAAGCTTGCCATCCATGCAAAGAAGAGTCCCATCCGGACATGGGGGGAGGCCTTCTATATTGTATCTTCTCGGCCCATTAGTCCTGCCCATATCACATAGCCCGGACGCCCGGGGACCCCCTAATTCAGGACTCCCTCACTCACCTTCCTTTTTATTCTATTGGCCCTTCTTCTTCCATGGAGGTGGTCTTGGAGCAACAATGTTGATGAATATGGATGTGAGCATCCTTCACGGTGACTAGTGTTGGAGGTGTATATATAGGAAGCCTCTTCGGGTCTCCTTCCTTGATGTAGCACCTCCACTTTGATCCTAGGGATCTAGGTGAGCCAAATCCATTCCCAATACGTCCCTTGATGGCCAAGGAAGTAGAAGGAACAAACAAGGACGAAATCTGGGAAGAATCACGCTTGATCTACGCGATTTCGACCCTGTCTCGATGCCATACGACTTGGCGCGGTCGTACTATGGGCCATCGTTGGCTCTGACCTCTTCGGCAAAATGGTCGTTACTTTTTCATACAAACTCCTTTTTTGACGTTCTTAGGATCGTTGGAATCACGTGAACAACATCGATGCATCTATGATGTTAGATCTGAATTTTGAGTATTATGTAAAAATGTCATTTTAACACTTCGAAATGCTCAAGTCTGGTGATGGAAAGTCCTCTATATTTAACCCATCTTCACTATTTTCATCGTGCTTGGTCCTATGTTGCTCGAAAACACCTGTAGACACACAACAAGAATAAAGCAAACTAATAAAGACTAACAAAACTACAAACAATGCATGCTCACAATGAAAAGAGTGAAAATCGGGAATCTGCATAATAGAGATGTACTTGGTTCAATGAGACATGATGTATGAAGATAATATGCAACAAATTAGCTCTAAAAATGGGTATAAAATAGAGCCATCACCAGTACCACTCATATATCACCTATGTTGCATGTCCATCACAGGTTGCCACCAGGGTCATGCTAGTGAGACTCCTGGACCCTGCTGTTGTCGTTGCATAATTACCATGCATCGGCTTCACTCCTAACTTTACTTGCACCAAGTAGGCGAGGGACTTCGCCTCGATCTCACCTTTGATGGTTACCCACATCACATGTTTTTCTCACGGCCCACTTATATCATGCAATAATGTGTTTTAAATATGAGACCAAGATCTATTTGGTGTTTAACCATACAAAATTATGTCAAACACATGCATTATTTGCTCCAGTCATGGAAATGACATCGTCCACCATGAGCCATCAATATCGCCATGTGGAGATAAATGAGGGAGGAGCACCCTGCCCTAGGCTTCACCCTCTGTTGGTGTGAGATGGTAGTGTGGGGGAGAGGAGAACAGATGGAACGAGATGAGATGATGATAGTGGAAGGGGTGTGTGCATGAGTAAACATGAGGCCGCAACTCAGGCTGGAGTCATGTTTACTCGTGCCGAAGTCATTCCACTTGTGCCCCTTAAGGATTTGGTTGCAATTTATTCTCTTATCAAGGTCCGTGATGTAATTCACAACGTACGAATTAAGATGGTTTCTTTTTTAGGAAATGATTAAGGTGGCTTCTTGCCCCATCCAGTGGCGGAGATAGGGGGACTAGCACGGCCCGGGCTCGGCCCTGAGAGGGGGCGAATGGGCGGCCGCCTCGGGCCTCAGTTTGGAGGGGCCTCGAGGTATGTGTTATACTCTTTTAGAGCAAGTATAATAGAATGATCTAGGCGGGTTATAAGAGATGCAGCATTAGATTTATGTCTAGGTGGAGGAAAAATGAGAGGAAAAAGAAGATAAGCAGGCTACAGGCTTACAGCCGGCTGTAGCACGAGCTCCAACATCCTTTGTGAGAGAAAGATATGGACCATATATTAATGGTATATCATACTAGTATGTCTAACTATTGTATGAGCGGGCCATTTAATTGGCTACAAGTGACATGGCAACTTTATATAGCCGGTCCTTGGTAATATTATTAATCATGCTCTTATGAGCCTAGCGCCCATATATTATCTACTGCATTGTTTACAAATGAGCGTCTGTCATTTTTCCTGATTTCCTTCCTACTAGCAGCTACTTTTGACGGATAGAGCAGTTATTGCACGTGATTAATTAGGGGGTGGTTATGTGGGAAAATCGCTCCGGAGTTCCTTCCCTAATCCAGGAGTCAATTGTGCGCCCAATTTTTGGGAAAAAACATACGCTGAGATGCTAGAGAAATGGAGGAACCAAACGTGATCTAGAGCGTCCCTGCGGCAACAACACGATGCTTGTTTCATGTGCGTGTGTAGTGCCGTCTAGAGTCGGTGGAGGCCAGGCGGGCTGCCGGAGATAGCCCCGCCGCTGCATCCCACACAATCACACCGACTCGTGGAGAGGCGAGATCGAACCCTGAAGACGCGATCACAGTTACAAAGAAGTGAAAGTATGTCTCTAATCTCTATTTATATAGGTAGCCTATATGCCTTTGAGATTTTACCATGTTGATTATTGATTGATTATAAAATTGATAAATGATCATCATTATTACCTCCCCGTCGTTGCAACCGGTCGCAGATAGATATTGCTTATTGGTATACATTGTCTGGGTTATGAATTCTGAGTTTGGCGACTTAGCAATAGTTTCTAATCTTAGTCGATACGACGAGGGCTATACACGTGTTGACATCAACATGGATGATAACAACATGAGTATGATTATGAGTATTTAAATCATTTGTTAGTCTTGATGAGGTATTTGTTTTTACTACAATGCTTGGCACAACTAAATACTAATACACTTCACTTCTGTGCTCTGGAACATATTTGTAAAGAATATATTGTATAGAGAAAAAATAGTGTATTTTATTTAGCTGACAATTCAACATATTTCGTTCATTTTTTTTATGTTTATGTTAAGGGCGTTTGAGTCTAGCTTTTGCCCTGGCCCTCGAAATCTCAGGACCGGCCTTGGCCATGCGGCCCCTTTAACAACAAGGATTTCATGCTAATTTACTTATGAATAGTACATAATTACCGGTCATTTGCAGCTAAAAACTCATTTTTTTAGGTTTTGGCTCTTCCCAATCTGTTTTAGCATCACTCAGCCCCGTGATAAATTTTTTTTGGCCCCGCCACTGGTCCCATCTGATACTAAGGTCAGGGGTTTTATTGCAAATAAAATAAAATATACATGATCATCTGTATATCATTTTCTCCCCTCCTCTCTCAACTCTCACTACACGTCGAAGTTTAAAAAGAAAGAACATCACACATAGAAGTGCGGCCACTTGAAACGCAGAGACTCGCGCCGTGGAAAGCGACCAAACTCGATCGGAACAAAATCCTTCCTCTCCGTCTCCGGCCGCCCATGGTATTCATGTATGGGAGCCGATGTAGCAGGCTAGTGAAGCGCATACGTGGCGACGAGAGCGACGACCATGAGCGCGTAGGCGACGCCCCGGTCGACGGCCTCCCGGTCAACGACCCTCCGCCACCCCTGCGCCAGAGCCTTCTCGTCCGCGCCGGTCGCCGCCGAGCCCGCCGCCATCCCGATCGAACAATGCACCGAGCCGGACGACAGAAAGCCGATCCTAGAGCTTGCTTGGGAGAGAGCTCACACTAGGTAACAAGTTCGGCAGCTAGAGATGGGTTGATGCCCTGGTGTGTGCGCGCGCAGAGATATATACGCGCAGAGGGAGCTGGGTGCGCGAGGCGACGCCAAGTAGACTTCAGACGATAGCCGCCTCGTTTGATCGGGGCTTGCCTTTTTGCGTGTCGCTTCGGCGGTGCCGGCTCTTGATCTGGCCGGCCGGGACGGCAGCCGTTCGCTGGACCCAGATGCAGGGAATAACCTACCCATTTCTATTGTTTGAGCGGAGCTATAACCTGACCTGGTCAAGCGTCCGGAATATATATGGCTGGCGTAGAAGGTTTTGTCCGCAGGAAAAGCAAGCTATGTTTTGTCAATCGTGGGTCAAATGGGTCAAACTCTGCTTTTCATCGAAGAGAAACCCAGCTTCGCTGGGTCTTCACGCTGGCACCGTGTCGAGGCAAACAATGCCTCTCTGTCACCATCATTTTCCAATTTCCGTGTTGTTGCCGCGATGAGAACCAGAGCGTCCATTTGATGGTCATGAGTTGATCAAGTCAGCGGAAACTCATTCGATGGTGTTGAAACGTGATATTTTTGTATTTATTTTCGACTGATTCTTCTATTACTCCCTCCGGTCCTTTTTACTCTACATATTAAAATTTTCTGGAGTCAAATTTCACAAAATTTGACCGTATTTATATGAAAAAATATCAACATCTGTCATGCTAAAGTTATATAATATGAAACTTTAAGTCATGACACATCTAGTGGTATTGATTTCAGATTATGAATGTTGACACTCTTTTCTATAAAGTTGGTCAAATTTTACGAGGCTTGACTTTAGTCAAATCCTATATGCGAACTAAAAAGGACCGGAGGGAGTATCTCTAGCCTTGTATAGCTGATTTTTAGAGATATTGTAGGGTTAGTTGGCTTGTCATGCAAGACACCACCTGTATATATTATAACCGACTCCGATAAAATACAATGAGTTGCATCCTATAGTCTTCTACATGGTATCAGTTTTCTACCGATCTCTCCCTCTTCCGCTCTAGGCCGCCGCCACCGCCGCCGCCCCTCTCTCCCTGCCGCCGCCGCTTGTTCCACTCGCCGCCGCTGCTGCACCAAACCCTAAACCCTTCCACGCCGCCGCAGCTACTTCTCCTCCAGCCGCCGCCGCCGCCGCCGTCCCAAAACCCTAACTCTCCTACGCCGTCGTCGCTGCTATCTCTTTCATAACCGCCGCCGCTGCTCCTTCCTCTGTAGCCGCCGCCGCCCTCCTTCCAATCATCACCTGTCTCGCTCCAAAGCCGAACCCTCCGACGCCGGTTCTTTCACCGGTGCCATCTTCACCTCCGATCGCCTCAACGAGCTTCACATCAAAGATCACGTTCCCGTCGTCCTCGACCTCGACTCGCCATCCTACAACGCATGGCGCACGTACTCCGCGCTCCTCTTCCGCTCCTACCGCCTCATCGAGCATGTTGATGGTAGCGTCGACATCCGCGACATGCAGAACAACGACGAGTGGCTTGCTGTGGACGCCTGCATCGTCAAGTGGCTTTTTCTCACCATCTCTCCAGGTCTCTTCAACAGGGTGAACTCCCGCGATCCGTCGGCATACGCCATGTGGACACGGCTGTGCGATCTCTTCCTCGACAATCAACTCCAACATCGTGTCTTCCTCCAAGGGGACTTCTTCACCATGCAGCAAAACGATCTTTTGATCGACGAGTACTGCACGCGGATGAAGATTCTCGTCGACGAGCTCCATGACATCGGCATGGTCATCGATGACTCCGTCCTCCTCACCAACCTCCTCCGCGGCCTCCACCCCGACCTCGGCCAATCTGCCGCCAACCTCTCCCTCATCACGCTGACGTACGCCAAGGCGGTCACATATCTTCGCCAGGAGGAGAAGCGTCTTCGTCATGCGGCTCGGCAAGCTCCTCTCGCCATGCTCCACGCTGGCACCGTGAAGGGCCCCGCCGCCCTCCCGCAGCCTCCCCGCACGCCGGCTCCACAGCCGCCCGCTGCCCCTGACCAGGGCCGCCAGAAGCGACGGGGAGGTCGCGACGGCCGCGGCCGCAACGACGGCTCTTAGCCCCGCCAAGCGGCTCCACCCGCTCCTGCTCAGGTTGCGGCACCCCCGCCCTGGCTCACAGGGTATAACCCCTGGACGGGGATGGTGCACGCTTACTCGATGCCTCTTCCGCGGGCGCCTGCTCCGGGCCTCCTTGGCCCTCGCCCGGCTAACCATCAGGCTCTCTTGCCCGCGCCTAGTGGCTATGGACCCGGCGGCTCTTCGACGTACAGCGGGACCGTGGCCCACGGCGCAGCCATGCTGTCACCCTACGGCGCTGCACCCGCCGGCTACACCTACGACCCGGCGCTTCTAGCCGCCCTCCACGCCGCCCCTACTCCAAGCAACTACTCCGGCGGTGGGGACTGGTACATGGACACAGGCTCTGCTACTCATATGGCATTGCACCCGGGTATCCTCTCTCGTGCCTCTCCGTACTCCCTTCTTTCTCGCATCGTTGTCGGTGATGGCTCTATGCTTCCCATCACCCACCACGGCGCGTCCTCCCTCCCCCTCTCCTCGTCTTCCTTATCTCTCAACAACGTTCTCATGTCTTCATCCTTAATCAAAAATTTATGTTCTGTTTGTACTCTTACCGTTGAGTTTGACAAACATGGTTTTTCTGTCAAGGATGCCCACTCCCGGAAGGTTCTGCACCGTTGTGATTCTCCCGGCGATCTCTACCCGTGTGGCCCAACGGCAAGACGCGGTCCCGTCGCTCTCCACGCCGACGTCTCTCTCTGGCATGCTCGTCTTGGCCATCCCGACACCGACGCTCTTCATAAAGTTTTGCGAACTTTTCCTTTTTCATGTAATAAATCGAAGGCACACATTTGCCATGCCTGTCGCATAGGGAAACATGTTCGTTTGTCGTTTTCTTCCTCATCATCAATTGCCAATTTCCCTTTTGATGTTATTCACTGTGATGTTTGGACATCGCCTGTGCCCAGCAATTCGGGTTTATCATATTACCTTGTGATTTTGGATGATTTTTCTCATTTCACTTGGACCTTTCCGTTGCGCCGCAAATCCGACGTCGTTTCCTCACTTCACGCCTTCTACGCTTATGTTGCCACCCATTTCCACCGCACCATTGCCCATCTTCAAACCGACAACGGAAAGGAGTTTGATAACCTCGCTATTCGCACCCTCTTATCCACTCATGGCACCATTTTTTGTCTCACATGCCCTTATACATCTCAGCAAAATGGTCGAGCCGAACGTGTTCTTTGCACTATTAATGAGAGTGTTCGCCCATTGCTCTTCCACGCACACATGCCTGCCCGATGCTCTCGCCACAGCTACCCTTCTTCTCAACATTCGGCCTTGTAAACCCCGGTGGAACTACACCCCTCATCATCTCTTGTTTGGGTCACCTCTGTCATATGATGATATCCATGTCTTCGGTTGCCTTTGTTATCCTAATATCACCGCCACGACACCACATAAGCTGGCACCTCGCTCTATCGCTTGTGTTTTTCTTGGTTACCAACCCAACACAAAAGGCTTTCGTTGCTACGACCCGGAGTCCCATCGTGTGATCGTGTCTCGGCACGTTTATTTTGATGAGTTTGTTTTTCCTTTCAGCAGGCAGTGTCGCGTCCCTCACCATCTCTGGACGCCTCTCCTCGACGGACTCGTGGATCCCTTGTGCTCCCTCCACCCCTTCGCTCGGGCGCGGTTGCAGCCTCGTCATCCGCTGCCTTGCCACCCTCGGCGTTTCCTTCGCCGAATCAGGAGGAATCGGCCTCCCAGGCCTCGCCAGGCCCTCGCCTCTCGGCTCGGGAGGAGCCGACCATGCCCCCAGCTGGGCCCTCGGGTGCCTTGTCCGCTCGGGAGGGGCCGGCCTCTTTGGCCCCGTCTGCACCCTCCTCGTCGTCCACGACCGGGCCCTCTGGCTCCTTGTCGGCTCAGGAGGAGCCGGCCGACTCAACCCCGTCGGCGCCCTTGCCGCCCTCCACGGTCGGGTCATCTCGCGCCTCGACGGCGCCCTCGACACCAACACCCATGGCCTCGCCTGCGTCTTCATCATCCTCCGAGCTGGCTGTGGTGGCCCCTCACCGACGTGGTCCACGCCCGCCTCCCCCGCCGCCTCACCACTCCATGGTGACGCGCGCCAAGGTCGGGGTGCGCCAGCCGAATCCGCGCTACCACAACCTCAGTGTCACGACCCTCTCTCCGGTTCCATGCTCGGTGCGTTCTGCGTTGAGTGATCCGCATTGGACCACCGCTATGCGCGTTGAGTACGACGCTCTTGTCGCCAACCGGACTTGGACCCTTGTTCCTCGTCCCCCTGGCGCGAACGTCATCTCGGGCAAGTGGGTTTCTCATCACAAACTCCTCCCGGACGGTTCTCTCGACAGATACAAGGCTCGTTGGGTTGTCCGTGGATTTGCACAACGTGTCGGTGTTGACTTTTCTGAGACTTTCTCTCCGGTCATCAAACCCGCCACGATTCGTGTGGTTCTTCAGTTGGCCACCTTTCGCCGTTGGCCCGTACATCAGCTCGACATCAACAATGTTTTTCTGTACGGCCACCTTCAGGAGCGAGTTCTCTGTCAGCAACCGACCGGGTTTGTTGACCCTCAGCGACCGGATCATGTCTGCCTGTTGTCACGGTCATTATATGGCCTCAAACAGGCTCCGCGCGCATGGTACCAGCACATCGCCGCGTTCCTTGGTCTTCTCAGGTTTCACAGCACCACCTCTGACACATCGCTGTTCGTGCTGCATCGGGCTGATCATGTGGCTATGCTTCTGCTCTATGTTGATGATATTGTCATCACTGCCTCCCGAGCGGATCTTCTTCGCGACATCATTGGTCGTCTCGGTTCTGAGTTTCGGCTGAAGGATCTCGGTGCGTTGCACTTCT